AAGTAAATGAGGGCATGGCTGACATGATTTGTTCTTGGCTAACCCAAGCTGGGTCACAGTGATCAATCACTTTTCTTCCAGGGGATCACAAATGCCCTTTCCCCTTTAAAATCCATTCTAGAATCATGTCCTCAATCTGCTACACCCACCAGTTCACAGAGTATGAAACCCTCTTTTTTCTTTTTAATGGAACACTTTTTCTGTCTCCACGATTCCAGCACCTTTTGAAAAATCTGCAAGTCCCCTAAGATCACAGATAAACACTGAAAGTCTCTTTCCTGGGTTCTGTAAGTACTCTGGCCTGTAATTCATCTGGGCCAAGAGGCTTGAATGTAATTCAATTCAGGACACAAATAAAGGTTCTCATTAGAGGGGAGTGGCCACCGTGCAAGACAATTTGGCAACACACTGATGTCACCGAATCGTGGAATGAAACAGATGCCTTGTTAATGTGGAGGCCCTGATGTCTTTCCAAGAACTGGCTTCTGTAGCTCCTTGAGTTCTGACAACCAGTCATCTGGGGCCAAAAAGTAAGGTTGAAGGGTCTGGAAGTCTCTTTTAAAATTCTCTTCCATCTTGCCATGTGCCATAATCCTTTGGGGCCTGTGGGAGAGAAGAGAGAGTGAGAGAAAGGCAAAGGGAACCAGCTTCCCACTGGGATGCTGAGGAGAGGTGGGGGTTCACCTGTGTGCAGCCCGCTGGTGGAAGCAAGTCTGCCCATAGGACTCTGAGGTTGATGTGAACGTGCATGACCTTTTTAAAAGGTCACCCACTCCTCATATCTCCTCTGGACTCTTGCCACACAGGGAAGTCTGAATTTTCACATTGCATTTCTGGAGTTTTATTTTATTTTTTATTTTTTTAAATATTTTATTTATTTATTTGGCAGAGAGAGAGACAGCGAGAGCAGGAACACAAGCAGGGGGAGTGGGAGAGGGAGAAGCAGGCTTCCCACGGAGCAGGGAGCCCGATGCGGGGCTCAATCCCAGGACCCTGGGATCATGACCTGAGCCGAAGGCAGACGCTTAACGACTGAGCCACCCAGGTGCCCCAGCATTTCTGGAGTTTTAACTGCGGGCTCAAATTTATAAAGCACTGTGCCAGCCAGACCACACATACCCTAGGGTCTGATCCAAACAGTAGCTCCCAGTTTGCAATCTCTGGCCTAAGGCAGCATGCAAAGATTACAGGTGGGCAGAAAGATGCTGATTGTCAGTTTGTTCAGTCACTGCTCCCAGAATGTGATGGGAATGCAGATTCATGTCTTCTTAGTTCAGAAGAGCAGTTTTCTATTTTATAAGGGTTAACAGGCAGTTTCTATTTTATAGGGCTTAAACAATTGGTAGGGGTGCCTGGGTGGCTCAGTCGGTTGAGCGTCCGACTCTTGATTTCGGCTCAGGTTGGGCCCCATGCATGCATCGGGCTCTGCGCTCAGTGGGGAGTCTGCTAGAGATTCCCTCTCTCCCTCTCCATCTGCTCCTCCCCCTGCTCGCACACACACACTTTCTCTCTCAAATAAATAATCTTTAAAAAAAAATTGGTGTTGCAGGGAATCTTCTTTTGATGGCACTGAAGTTTGACAGAAAGAGCCTTAACTTCACAATGAGGAACTCATATGGTTGCACAATTTGGGGGCACAATTTTTGTGGGGGCTGTGTCTCCCCAAATCAGAAGACACTATGACTTTGTTGTCTATATGTTTGGGGCCCTCAAATTGGTAGCTGGAATAGTGTATGCATGAGGTAAATACTCAAACACATAGAATTAATGCTCCTGGCCACTTCAGCTTGCAAATTTCACTTTAAAAATATTTAAAAAAAAAACTCTTGTGTAAATACCTGATTCCCTTAGGCTTAAGGTGTGGGGCAGAGGAGGAGAAATACAACCTTCATTATCCTCAAAGATCAGAGGAGCTATAACACACTTGCTAAGTCAGGGAGGTATATTGAGGCAACAAGAATGACCTTCCGGTGAGTTTTGTTCAAACTTTGGATAACCTGGATCCCAATTTCCAAACACAACACAGTTGAACTTTCAGGGTTTTCCCCTTCAAATCTAAAAAACAAATTTGTTATCTTCCCAACCAAAACCTCTATAGGTTTTAATGGTGTCATCCAATCACTCAAACTAGAAACTCTGGAATCATCTTTAAGTCTCTCTCCAGATAGTATTGGCCACCAACTTCCACACAGTCTTCAATTCATACCCTTTTTCTCTCTCTTGATTCAGCGCTTCATCGTCACTCCCTGATATTTTAATGATCTCTCCCCCACTCTCTCCAGTTTCAGTTGCATGGGCCATCATTAAAGTTGTTATATATACCTGCAGTTGCCCTCAACCCCCTTACGCTTCTCCCCCACCGTTGTAAGACTTTGGTGGAATAATCCCAACGCTGGTTAAAGCTGACATTCTCACTACTCTCCACCTGTGTCCGGAAGCTGAGCTTGGGTGGGAAAAACCACTCATCCCTGCTGACTGGCCACACTGAGCATCCCAAACCGCAGGTGGGTCCTCGGTGCAGCCTGGAAATTATAATATATTCCCCTGGTCAACTGACTTCCCAGCTCTTTCGATGTCTCTCCTCCAGTGCGTCCAGTGTTGCTGTAAGCCTCCCCTGCCCCCCTAACTCTCAGCTGCCGACTGTGCCCGCCATTCAGCTGGGAAAGGGAAGCAACCAGCAGAGGTGTCTCTCCTCTCCCACCCCTAGACCATTGGCCTAACTCATCTCCTTGTGTCCCCTCTGCCCCCAGCTCCCCAGTGACCCCAGTCCAGTTCCCATACCGCCAGAGTGATTACATATCACTCACTAAAATCTGAGCTGCTTACCCCGTCATGGCCCTCCTTGGTCTACCCATCTGCAGGTCTCAGGTTTGTGTCCCTGGCTCTCCAGCACCTGAGGCACGGGTTCACCTGGGGACCCCCGCACATGCAGCTTCTGTGGCGGGAGCGCTCTCCCCAGGAAGGCACGTGGGGTTCACTTTCTCGTTTCTCTCAGGTGTTGGTTCAAAGCGCACTTCTCGAAGAGACCTTCCCTGTAACCACACAAGCACCTCTGCCTTGTCACCCTCAGTTCGTTCCCTGCTTCATTTCCTATGCATTTATGTACCAATAAAAAAAAAAATACAGAGAGGGGCGCCTGGGTGGCTCAGTCGTTAAGCGTCTGCCTTTGGCTGGGGTCATGATGCCAGCGTCCTGGGATCGAGCCCCGCATCGGGAGCCCCACTCCCCCTGCTTGTGTTCCCTCTCTCGCTGTGTCTCTCTCTGTCAAATAAATAAATAAAATCTTAAAAAAAAATAGAGTAGTACTATGATTTATGTTCCTTATTTTAACTTCAGAACACTATTGGGATTAATGCTGTAGCTGGCCCAGGTCTCCTAAAAATACAACAAAAAAAGCCTGAACTGATGTTCTAGAGCAGTTTCCCGATGTCCATGGTGGCATTCTGAACCATTCTATTACTCTTAGATCTAAGCTGAAATGGAAGTGTATTTAGGAGGTTGTTGTTTAGAATGGTGAGGGTGGGGTTCCACTGACTGGGAAGCACGTAAGAGTCAGGGCTGACCTCACTCCTCTTGTTTTCAACCTCTGTCTCTCAGTTTATTCACAGCTAGGATAAACCTGCTCAGTTACGGGCTCCGTTACAAGCCACTGGGGAAACACTGGTGGAAAAGCAAAAGCAACTAGGTTTTTATCGAGGGGTTTCAGGACCTCTCTCAAAGAATTGCGGGCTCTCCCTTGATGGTAAGAACAGTGACCAGGTGTGACTCTTCCCGAACCAACCCACTGTGTACGCCTGTGTTACCTCCAGGAGACAGAACGAATCTCCTTTCACGGTGGACCACAGTACCTTGCCCAAGGAGCAACCCCCCCCCACCGCCCCCCACACAACGTAGCTTCTGATGAAGCCATCATAAGCAGGTTTCCCAAAGGTGCCTTTCAAGATAGGCTCTCAGAAAACTTTTTTCTCAAGCAAGTTTGTCCTCCAACCTCACAGAGCTGATGGGCCACCAACCTCTGTGTGGAGAGTGTACACATTCTGCATTTTTGTAGTGGAAACATTAGCAGTGGCCAGTGGCGATGTCCTGGCCTGCTTGGCGAAGGTCATCTGAATTTGTGCTCCCTTGGCATCACAGTGGCCCTGACGTTTCATAAAAGCACAGACCTACCCCTTCCTTCTTTGGCCTCCGGATGTTGAGTTTGTCAGGCAAGGTGGGCAGGAAATCTGGCCAGTTCATAAATCCTTGGACAGAGTGTGCCCACCAACAGGGGTTACATCTGCCGCCACCTGGAGAAGGCTGTCCCTACCCACCCACATCCCCGATCACCCGGGGAGTTTCCACACTTCTTGGCTATTCAGGTAGGACCCTCGCACACCTGTGAGAGCCTGGGTGTTTGGGTACGGGGCTCTGCCCAACAGGGGCCCCCCAGTCTCTGGCCAAGGACTCCAGGCGCGAAGCCGCACCCAGCTGCCCTCTTTGTACTTCTGGGTCCCTGTGAGCATATGTTTCAGTGCCCCGTTCTGGGGGAACTCTTCAAGTAGGTCCAATTCCCAAGGTTCACCCAAGGGGAGAAAGGTGCTTTGGAGGTATACAGGGATTTGAGTGAATCTTGAAACTGGTCCAGGGTCCCGGAGTACAAGCTTCCCAAGGTGACTTCAGACAGCGGAAATACCCCAAACTTTCCTTCCATACAATTTGCTCTGGCTGAGGCGGGAGGGGAACGCTGCTACCCCGAAAGGAGGCGGCCAACGGTGGGGAGCTTGTGATCCATCGGGCGGCTAAGTTGACAAGGGGGGCCGGCTGTCTTAGTTGACCACCCTGAAGGCGTTCAGGGAGCCGGGGTTTTTGTGACGGAGACCCGGGTGGCTGGGACTGGCTGCGAACAGTCACAGCGCCGAGGGCGGCCCGGCGGGGCGAGGGCGGAGCGGGCGCAGCTGCGCTGACGGCCGCGGCAGAAAGGGGGCGGCCGCGCCCATTTCCTCCGCTCAGCCGGGGCCGGCGGGATCCGCATCGGCGAGCGGCGCCTCCCCGGTGTCGGCCGCGGCGCCTCCGGACTGTGCCGGGCTGGGGCGAGACTGCTCTGGCCGAGTCTGCGGCGGCTGCCACCCCTCCGGACGCTCCGAAGTCCGCCGCGCGGTTCGCGTTGCGGCTGCCCGTATGGACGCGGCGCTGAAGCGGAGCCGCTCGGAGGAGCCCGCAGAGCTCCCGCCGTCGGCCCGGGACTTGGAGGAGGAGGAGGAAGAGGGGATGGAACAGGGGCTGGAGGAGGAAGAAGAGGTGGACCCCCGGATCCAGGTAGGGCGCGCGGGGGGCGCCGCCGAGGCGGGCATCCACACTTACATCCGCCTCGCGGCCCCCAGTGCCTGCGGTCCCGGGCGGTGGTGGCCACGTAGGTCCGGGGGCGAGAAGAGAGGGTCCGGATTCCCAGTTTCACCCGGTTCACGGGGAGGCTGCGGTGCCCGCGTGGATGCGGCCTGACCATCGTGGGGGACCCCCGCAGACCCCTGGCAGGATCTGGGGGTCGCCGCAGCGTGCCCAGCGGTTCGGGCGGATGTGCAACAAAGGGAAAAAGGGGGCGCGGGCGCCATGCGGGTGTCGGGGTCCCCCCGCCAGGCTCGCGGCGCGGCGGGCATCGCGCGGCCTCCGGGCTGGGCGGAGGGGGTCGCCCGGGCCGCGTGGGCGCTGGGCACCGTGGGCGTTGTCCGCCCCTGCAGCGTGGGCTGGCACTGGTGCCCGGGTGGCGAGCCCTCACCTGGCGGAGGTGCCCGGCCTGAGCCATCTTCCTCCTCTCGGATTCATTGTTTAGCAAAGGGCTTATTGTCACCCCTGGCTCAAACCTCCGCTTGGCTTCAAAGGGTCGAAAACCCAGCTTTTCCTTGTTAGGAGGTCGGGGTGTGAACAGAAACCGGGGACAACTGATGCGCAAAGCTCACGCGGGGAGAAGGCGAGGGGATTGGCCTGGCTTTCTGAGCCTCCATTTCTGAGGGAGATGATTAAAAAACAATTTCTAAGCCAAGATCTAGGAGTGACCCTCTAGGCAAAAAGCACTGCAAATCTCTTCCCAAGACCCGTTTTTCTACCTTCTCCATTAATCATTATATATATATATGTATATGTGTTGCTTTTAATCGTGCTCTGCAATTTCTGGAGCCCTAATTGGTTTTTCAGTGCGCAGATCAATTAAAAGCCCATTTAACTCAGCTGTTGCCATTTAAATGAATTGTTTTGGCAGATTAGCAAGATAAAGATCAGGTGGAAAAATCTTTGCATTAGGAATTCTATTAATTAAAATCACTACTTTAGACTACTAAATCTTGTTTTCCTGGTACGGGGATCCGGTTTACCAGACCCTTTGTTTGCAGAGTAAAATGAGTTAACTTCGCTGGGTACTTTTTACAAAATGTCAGTTTATAAATGTTTATTTAAAAGATCAGGATTAAAGCTAGGTTTTGTTTTGTTAAAACAGCTAGGTAGGTTTAATAATCGACAGTTTGAAGGGAAAAGATTTTCCTTTCTAGAAAAAGAACTCAACCACTGATGAGTTAATGCCAGAATTCTGCCCTTGATTTAAATCATTTCACTGGGTTTATAGTTTCGGCGTGGCCTTGTTTATTTTATTGTCTTTTCTGCAAAGTTCTTGCTCTAAGGCAGAAGGTCCTGCTTTAATGTGACTCCTAAACCATTTGTAACAGGTGGGTTTACCTGAAGGCACATACCTGCAATAAATACTTGACCTTCCAAGAAAAAAATCCCTGGGACCTTAAGGCATTTTTGAAAGGGACACCATCAAGAAAAAATAACTGACATTCATTTGCTCTTCAAGCCAGGGCTCAGCTATTTTCCTTGAGAATTAATAGTGACTCATCCCTCTGCCTATAAATGGTGCTGGAGTACTTTTGCTGAGAATGAGCTCCATCATACTGGAAACAAAAGACGAATCCCTTAAAAGTTTCTTCCCTCTTTTCTTCACTAGGGAGAACTGGAGAAGTTAAATCAATCCACGGATGACATCAACAGACGGGAGACTGAACTTGAGGTACTGGAGGCTGGGTCCCTGTTTGGTGAGGACTGACACCAGGCTGCTTGATCTTGTTTTAATAGCTGGAGGATGATTGCTGGCGTCCCCTCCATGGAGTTGAGCAACAGCCGCTCTCTGACAGAATGAAATACAGGGCTGAGCCCAGCGTGTGGGTGGAACACATGTGGATCCTATTTCACATGTTTTTCATCATGGGTGCTCGGTGGGGCCAAAACCAAGGGCTGTGTGGAGCGAGCACTAAAGTTCATGCGGCTGCGGAAAAGCTTGAAAGGATTGAGGGGAGAATTAGCTGCACTCCATAATGGAGAAGAACGAATGAGTTGACAAAAATCTCTCCAATATTTTAGGGTGGCTCCTTATAGTTGTACTTGGAAACATTGTTTATTTCCTTAGACTTGTACCGTTTTTTACTTTCTGTCCTAAAAATTCACCCCCTTCCGCTTCCCTGCTCATTTCTTTATTGTCTGTTTGCGTGTAGAATATAATGATCTTAATGGTAGCAAAAAGCTGTTTAGACTGGAAGGGCTTTCCTGCTGGGAGGAGTCTTGGGGGAGACGAGAACTTGATTTGAATTTCATGAGCATCTTCCAACGTGAGTGTAAACAGATGAGCATTCTTCGCAGCTACCAATTAGTCCCCATCCCTTTTTAGTGGTGGTTGGTTTTACCATCCATCAACAAATTTGAACAAGCCCCGCATGGATCTGAAACCTGTGAATGACTCTGTCAGAGCACCGAAGGGCTGCAGGGAGCTGTTGGGAGGACGTGTTTCTATAGCAGGAGAAGTAGTAGGGAAGGTCACCGAAAAGGGCAGGAAACATCTGGTCCCTAAGAATGAGGGTGTGGGAGATAAGAATAATCTACTGGGAGGACACCGGCAGCCTTGATTTCTGACAGCATGGCTAGGCCCTGGAGGCACCAGATCTGAGCGTGGCAAAAAAAAAAAGGATTAAAAGCATGCTTTCTGAGTTGTGTGTGAAGGGTTATCGCCCACCCCTCTATTCTGATTGTTTATATCCACGAACACTAGCCGCCCTTCTCCCCCAGGTGAAGTAAAACCTGCATATTTATTTAAAATTTTTTTTGACTTCTGATGAATCGAGTCTCTTGGGGCAATTGAAATCTCTCAGAATCTCACGTTTCCAATATATTAAACAACAAAACCCCTGCCATTTCTATAGGGCTTAAGAGTTTACAAAGTGATTTTTATAAGCTTTATCTCCTGTCAGGGCAGCCTGTGATAGATTGGATAGAACTGTGCTATCCAATATGACAGCCATTGGCCATGTGTGGCTCTTTACCTTTAAATTAATTGAAATAAGATGAGAAATTCAGTAGCCACATTTCAAGAGTCTAGTAGCCACCATATTGGACAGAGCAGAGAACAGTTCCATCATTGTAGAAAGTTCTGGAGAGCACAGTCCTGGAAAGTGGGGTCTGCCTCTTCTCCAGTTGAGGATGTTGGGAGTACAGGGTCTCATGGTTCAGTAATGTGGCAGAGCCAGGTCATTTCCCACATCCCTTCTAGCTCCCATGTTCTGCCATTCCAAACTCTGTGTAGACAATTCAGAAATAGGCTTTTTTTTTTTCTTTGCAAAGGATTGCTTTATTTGACAAATATTTGTATGCCTATACTTGGCTTTTGGGGGCCAAGAAGGCTCCACAGGGTGCTTACCTTCTGAGTCTAAAATTGGTTCACCTGATAAGCTTTTAACTCTGATTTCACAATCTTCTTTCTGAATACACTTAGGTGTGTGTGTCTCAGAAAGCTGCAGGACAGGTGTTTCCAGCCTTGCTCTGGAGAGTGCTAGGCAGCAGTGAAGAGAGAGTAGGCTTGTGTTCCTGGCTGACCTTTTCTTGGTAGTATTATAACCAAGGTGGACTCACAGCAGGCTACCTAAGTCATGAAAACTTCCCTCGGGGCCACATTAACAAGTAAAAAAAACCAGCTGAAATTAATTTTAATCTATTTTGTTTGGCCCAGAACGCCCAGCATCGTATAATTTCAACAGGAAATGAACATACAAGTAGTTAATGAGATGTTTTATGCGTATTTTTTTTTTTTTTTACTAAGCCTTCAAATTCTCGTGCATATTTTAGGCTTAGAGCGCATCTCGACTTGGACCAGCCACATTTGCCTGAATAGCCTCCTGTGGCCCCAGGTCTGGTAGACATTTCCTGCCAGACTCAGGAGCAGTGGGATTTCACCCTCGGCGCCAGCGCTGCCCGGGCCCGAGGGGAGGAGGAGGTGTGTGTGCCGTGGGCTGTGTTCCTTCCGTCAAGCCCCCGGCGCCCACCTTGGTGGGGGGGCACTGTGTCGGCCACCGCAGATCCGCGGGTGAACAAGACAAAGGCCTTGCCCTCAGGCAGTCTAACTTTAGCTGAGGGTGAGGAACCAAGAGGTAGAGCGTAATTGCTGACTGTCATCACTGCAGCTGAAGAGTGAGGTGACGGGCTCCGCGGGAGGGGTCACTGGAAGACACCTGAGCAGAAGGCCGCTGAGCGAGCGAGCGAGCAAAGAGGAGCAGGTGTGGCGGAGGGAGTGTGCCAGAAGATGTGGGACAGAAAATAGCCTTTTTTTTTAAGATTTTATTTATTTATTTGACAGAGACACAGCGAGAGAGGGAACATAAGCGGCGGGAGTGAGAGAGGGAGAAGCAGGCTTCCTGCGGAACAGGGAGCCCAATGCGGGGCTTGATCCCTGGACCCCGAGATCATGACCCGAGCTGAAGGCAGACGCTTAACGACTGAGCCACCCAGACGCCCAAAAAAACAGCCATTTTAACATAGGGTCGGTTCTCTCGTTATTCATGGTGACCATTTTTCTGTGAAGTCGCTGTGAACATTGAATTAGGGAATACTGAACCGTTGCTGGGCCTTACATTACGTGTTCCTGTGAGCCTCTGGTCACACTGTTTCCCGCTGCTGGGCAATCTAGTGCCTTGTTCTATGTGTGTTTCTGTTGAAAGCCAGTTTATTTCATTGACGTGGTTGATGCGTTAGTGTTGGACTTGCAGGCAACAGCCTTGTGGCTCAGGCCTGAGCAAAGCTTGCCTCGCTAACCTGGCCGTGCTCGGCGCCCGTCACAGCTTTCCTGGGCTCAGCAACGCTGGCCAGCACTTCAGCCCTGGGCCTGGGCGCCGCGTCAAACAGCCGACTCCCCAACACAAAGCGCAAAAGTGCAAAAAGTGTGGCATTAGCTAGACCGTGAAAGGACACTAATTTACAGCAGAAGAGCTGAAACAAGAAGGCAGAGCGTCTCTCTGTCCCACCTCACTGGGAACACGCAGGTTGGGCACTTCAAATTTTGGTCACTCCGTGCCAGTCCGTGAGTGACTGGAGAAGCTCCGGGACTATTGATTCTGGAGCTACACGTAAATTTTAGTGAGTATGGAATCTGCAAATAATGAGAATTGACTGGCTGTAATGTCAGAGCCTCTAGGGGAGGGTTGTTTGCTTCTGCGTTTCTTTTCCCTTTGCTTTTTAATTACGGTCTCGAGGGGCCAGCACCCCTCCTGACCTTGACTCTGATTAAAGCACATTGGTGATTAGGTCTGTGTTAGCTGCTGCTTCCCTCGGAACGTGGTGCAGTTGGCTCTGGGCAGCCATAGGCTGAGGCGCAGGCCTGGATTCACCTTACAATCCCATCCCTTGTCTCAGTTCTTTAAATCGGAGGCTACTGAAAGACCTCTGGATGCCAGCCACCTTCCACGTTGTCAGTTGGAAATCTGCCCCTTCCTGCAACCTTGCTTTGCCTCTGCCGTTGTTTAAAGAATGTCGTATTCCCTTTGCACTGATTTATATTAAGAGGGCCAGTCCTTTAAGACTGGCAGCGGGGGTGGGGGGGAGGGGGGCTTTTAACCAGAGAAGCCCTTGGCTAGAAGCCTGATATTTCAAATTAAGAAAATAAATGTATTTTCTCACACACCTGTGGATTAGTCAGCTTTAATCATTGAATATTTTTTGAGCACCTGCTGTGTGCTGAGAACCGCGAAGAGTAGAGAGCAGTGGAGAGAATGGGCAGAAAATTATAATTGATTAAAATACACAGGTTACATGGTGATATGCCCTAAGGAGAAAAGGCATGGAGGGGCTAGCAGTGTGCGTATTTGGGAGCCAGGAGGATACAGTGTTACTCGTAGTGGGTTTGAAAGGCTTCCCTGAACGCGTGTTTGGAGAGAGTGCACCTCAGGGCCATGTGGGGGACAAGCATTCCAGCCAGAGGGAATAGTCAATGCTAAGCTGGGAGTAGGGCCTGGCCTGACTGAGCGCTAGCAAGGGGGGCCCAGCATCCTGGGGTTGGGGTGAGCCATGGATAGAGGAGAGGAGAGAGAGAAATGTGCCATCCAGAGTGTAACAACTCTGCCAGATAAGGTAAATGTGCTGATATACTTTTACAATATATGTTCTATAGAGCTAGCTTTTTTTTTTAAAGATTTTTTTTAAAAAGATTTTACTTATTTGATAGAGCACAAGCAGGGGAAGCAGCACAAGCAGAGGGAGAAGCTCCCCGTGGAGCAGGGAGCCTGATGCGGGGCTCTATCCCAGGACCCTGGGATCATGACCTGAGCCGAAGGCAGATGCTTAACCGACTGAGCCACCCAGGCGCCCCTAGAGCTAGCTTTTTTCAAGTGTTTGTTAAAATGAGATGTGGCACAGAGGATTTCTAAAGCATTGTAATCAAGATTACAATATTTCCATGCCAGTTACCTATTTTTTTACCGTGATATGTGGTGTTTTCATGGTCTCCCTTGCTTGACCGGAAGGCGGGCTGTTCTAGGGCCAGGAAATGGTCAAAGAGGAGGAGGAAGGACACGACCAGGGCTAGTTACCCATGGACAGCTTTTCTGGCTCCAAGTTGTCAGAAGCTGACTTTTTCAGCCTGCCCTTCCCCTGGGAGGGAAAAGCCGTTAATTGTCAACGCTCAAGCTTTTTCCCTCACTGCTTAGGTGGGGGTGGTTTGAAAAAGCATTTGATTCTGGAGCCAGCTGTGTTCCC